TATGAAACATACATGTACATAAAGTATTACGTGCTATGCTAGTGCAGTGATTAAGTTAGTAATAGCGATTAGCGCGATGTTTACAATATACGCGATCGATTCTTCACTATCTTGAAGTTACATTAATTGATTGGTTATTAAGTACTATATTCGATATAATTGATACACAAGCAATAAAGTACAGATGTAGAAGGCATATATAAGGGAAGTGCTTACCTGTACCATGAAACGTCAACATGAGAAAAGTGTTGAGTGCTGTCGGCCAATCCTACCAGGCTGACAGGTGACAATTGACTGTGCGTTCAAATTTCCGTGACGTCACAGGTTGTAAGCCGGTGAATTAGGCGTTAAGCCAGGTACGGGTAGCACGTACAACTCATTACATGCAGACAATGGAGGGGCGGCCTTACGATGGATAAAAGTAGAAATAAGGCTTCCGGCGACACAAATGTGTCTAACCGTTACAATATCCTCCTATACAAATGTAGCTAACCGTTATATGCTCCTCCCATACAAATGTATCTAACTGTTATATGTTCCTCTCATACAAATGTATCTAACCGTTACAAACTCCTCCAATACAAATGTGTGTAACCGTTATAAACTCCTCCCATACAAATGTATCTAACTGTTATATGCTCCTCCCATACAAATGTATCTAACCGTTACAAACTCCTCCCATACAAATGTATCTAACTGTTATATGCTCCTCCCATACAAATGTATCTAACCGTTACAAACTCCTCCCATACAAATGTGTCTAACCGTTATAAACTCCTCCAATGCAAAAGTGTCTAACCGTTATAAGCTCCTCCCATGCAAATGTGTCTAACCGTTACAAACTCCTCCCATACAAATGTATCTAACTGTTATATGCTCCTCCCATACAAATGTATCTAACCGTTATATGTTCCTCTTATACAAATGTATCTAACTGTTATATGCTCCTCCCATACAAATGTATCTAACCGTTATAAGCTCCTCCCATACAAATGTATCTAACCGTTATAAGCTCCTCCCATACAAATGTGTCTAACCGTTATAAACTCCTCCCATACAAATGTATCTAACCGTTATATGCTCCTCCCATACAAATGTATCTAACCGTTATATGTTCCTCCAATACAAATGTGTCTAACCGTTATAAACTCCTCCCATACAAATGTATCTAACTGTTATATGCTCCTCCCATACAAATGTATCTAACCGTTACAAACTCCTCCCATACAAATGTATCTAACCGTTATAAACTCCTCCCATACAAATGTATCTAACCGTTATATGCTCCTCCCATACAAATGTATCTAACCGTTACAAACTCCTCCCATACAAATGTGTCTAACCGTTTTAAACTCCTACCATACAAATGTATCTAACTGTTATATGCTCCTCCCATACAAATGTATCTAACCGTTATAAGCTCCTCTCATACAAATGTATCTAACCGTTATAAACTCCTCCCATACAAATGTATCTAACCGTTATCAGCTCCTCCCATACAAATGTGTCTAACCGTTATAAACTCCTCCCATACAAATGTATCTAACTGTTATATGCTCCTCCCATACAAATGTATCTAACCGTTATATGTTCCTCTCATACAAATGTATCTAACCGTTACAAACTCCTCCAATACAAATGTGTCTAACCGTTACAAACTCCTCCCATACAAATGTGTCTAACCGTTACAAACTCCTCCCATACAAATGTGTCTAACCGTTATAAACTCCTACCATACAAATGTATCTAACTGTTATATGCTCCTCCCATACAAATGTGTCAAACCGTTATAAACTCCTCCCATACAAATGTATCTAACTGTTATATGCTCCTCCCATACAAATGTATCTAACCGTTACAAACTCCTCCCATACAAATGTGTCTAACCGTTATAAACTCCTACCATACAAATGTATCTAACTGTTATAAGCTCCTCCCATACAAATGTGTCTAACCGTTATAAACTCCTCCCATACAAATGTATCTAACTGTTATATGCTCCTCCCATACAAATGTATCTAACCGTTACAAACTCCTCCCATACAAATGTGTCTAACCGTTATAAACTCCTACCATACAAATGTATCTAACCGTTATAAGCTCCTCCCATACAAATGTGTCTAACCGTTATAAACTCCTTCCATACAAATGTATCTAACTGTTATATGCTCCTCCCATACAAATGTATCTAACTGTTATATGTTCCTCCAATACAAATGTGTCTAACCGTTATAAAGTCCTCCCATACAAATGTATCTAACTGTTATATGCTCCTCCCATACAAATGTATCTAACCGTTACAAACTCCTCCCATACAAATGTGTCTAACCGTTATAAACTCCTCCCATACAAATGTATCTAACCGTTATATGCTCCTCCCATACAAATGTATCTAACCGTTACAAACTCCTCCCATACAAATGTGTCTAACCGTTTTAAACTCCTACCATACAGATGTATCTAACTGTTATATGCTCCTCCCATACAAATGTATCTAACCGTTATAAGCTCCTCTCATACAAATGTATCTAACCGTTATAAACTCCTCCCATACAAATGTATCTAACCGTTATAAGCTCCTCCCATACAAATGTGTCTAACCGTTATAAACTCCTCCCATACAAATGTATCTAACTGTTATATGCTCCTCCCATACAAATGTATCTAACCGTTATATGTTCCTCTCATACAAATGTATCTAACCGTTACAAACTCCTCCAATACAAATGTGTCTAACCGTTACAAACTCCTCCCATACAAATGTGTCTAACCGTTATAAACTCCTACCATACAAATGTATCTAACTGTTATATGCTCCTCCCATACAAATATGTCAAACTGTTATAAACTCCTCCCATACAAATGTATCTAACTGTTATATGTTCCTCCAATACAAATGTGTCTAACCGTTATAAAGTCCTCCCATACAAATGTATCTAACTGTTATATGCTCCTCCCATACAAATGTATCTAACCGTTACAAACTCCTCCCATACAAATGTATCTAACCGTTACAAACTCCTCCCATACAAATGTATCTAACCGTTACAAACTCCTCCCATACAAATGTATCTAACCGTTATAAACTCCTCCCATACAAATGTATCTAACCGTTACAAACTCCTCCCATACAAATGTGTCTAACCGTTATAAACTCCTACCATACAAATGTATCTAACCGTTATATCCTCCTCCCATACAAATATGTCAAACCGTTATAAACTCCTCCCATGCAAGTGTGTCTAACTGTTGTAAACTCCTCCCATACAAATGTGTCTAACTGTTATATGCTCCTCCCATACAAATATGTCAAACCGTTATAAACTCCTCCCATGCAAATGTGTCTAACCGTTATAAACTCCTCCCATACAAATTTGTCTAACCGTTATATGCTCCTCTCATACAAATGTATCTAACCGTTATAAGCTCCTCCCATACAAATGTGTCTAACCGTTATAAACTCCTCCCATACAAATGTATCTAACCGTTATAAACTCCTCCCATACAAATTTGTCTAACCGTTATATGCTCCTCTCATACAAATGTATCTAACCGTTATAAGCTCCTCCCATACAAATGTGTCTAACCGTTATAAACTCCTCCCATACAAATGTATCTAACCGTTATAAACTCCTCCCATACAAATGTGTCTAACCGTTATTAGCTCCTCCCATACAAATGTATCTAACCGTTATAAGCTCCTCCCATACAAATGTATCTAACTGTTATAAGCTCCTCGCATACAAATGTGTCTAACCATTATAAGCTCCTCCCATACAAATGTATCTAACCGTTATAAGCTCCTCCCATACAAATGTATCTAACCGTTATAAGCTCCTCCCATACAAATGTATCTAACCGTTATAAGCTCCTCCCATACAAATGTATCTAACCGTTATAAGCTCCTCCCATACAAATGTGTCTAACCGTTATAAACTCCTCCCATACAAATGTGTCTAACCGTTATAAACTCCTCCCATACAAATGTATCTAACTGTTATAAGCTCCTCCCATACAAATGTATCTAACCGTTATAAGCTCCTCCCATACAAATGTGTCTAACCGTTATAAACTACTCCCATACAAATGTGTCTAACCGTTATAAGCTCCTCCCATACAAATGTGTCTTACCGTTATAAACTCCTCCCATACAAATGTATCTAACTGTTATAAGCTCCTCCCATACAAATGTATCTAACCGTTATAAGCTCCTCCCATACAAATGTATCTAACTGTTATAAACTCCTCCCATACAAATGTGTCTAACCGTTATAAACTCCTCCCGACAAATGTGTCTAACCGTTATAAACTCCTCCCATACAAATGTATCTAACCGTTATAAGCTCCTCCCATACAAATGTATCTAACCGTTATAAGCTCCTCCCACACAAATGTGTCTAACCGTTATAAACTCCTCCCAAACAAATGGGGCTCACTGTTTTAGCTCACTGCCCCCTCCCCCCCCCCCCCCCCCCCAATAACACCGTGCCCCACAACAGGTGTGTCTTTACACTGCGCCACTAACACCGTGCCCCACAACAGGTGTGTCTTTACACTCCGCCACTAACACCGTACCCCACAACAGGTGTGTCTTTACACTCCGCCACTTACACCGTACCCCACAACAGGTGTGTCTTTACACTGCGCCACTACCCCCGCACCCCACAACAGGTGTGTCTTTACACTCCGCCACTAACACCGTACCCCACAACAGGTGTGTCTTTACACTCCGCCACTACCACCGTGCCCCACAACAGGTGTGTCTTTACACTGCTTCCGTGTTAAGTCGAAAATATACAAAAGGAAGACACTAACGCCAGCAATGAATTCAGTGGCGCTGAATGCATTTTTCTCGAAAAATATTCGGATTTCTGTATTCAAAGATCCTTTCAAAGAGCTGTTATCGATCGTTCGTCAATGTGAGGGCTAGCACGTATTCACGCACGCAAACAGAATGAGTCCATATATTGTCCATTGCACAACAAAATGCACTCTGAATTAAGACTTGATAAAAGAACCTCCATAAACCTTCCACATATTGCGACAGACCGGCCCGGTCTACGTAATAGACATCTACTGATTTAACGACGTAGAGAGCCCTACCCCTCAAGTGTTACGTGGATGAGCCCGTCATGATGGCTGCCGACCCACCAGGAATCCTTGACTGACCCTCTAAAGTGGCCAGTGAGCGGGTGTAAGGCTGGAGCTGCGTGGGTGAGTGCTGCATCTGAGGGGGGAGGGGACGGGGGGTCAAGTCGCACAGCTTCACCCCCGAGGTCGTTCACTATCAGCCCCTCAGCGCTATGCCAACGCGCTACAGCTGGGGATGCTTGGGTTAGTCTAAAATTAGTTTCAGGGGTAACAGGTTTAGTTTGATTACATCACAGTTGGGCAATAACGCTCGCCATCAACTTGTTACTGCGACGCTCCGGTCGCCATGGCGTCGTGGTCAGTGCAATCGGTACATGCTTCAACATGCAGTGCTACTGTGTCGTGTGTACCTGGTGCACGGTGATTACACACGGAGACGTTGTCATATGTACCTGATGCACGGTGATAACACCGGAGACGTTGTCATATGTACCTGGTGCACGGTGATTACACTAGAGACGTTGTCATGTGTACCTGGTGCACGGTGATTACACTGGAGACGTTGTCATATGTACCTGGTGCACGGTGATTACACTGGAGACGTTGTCGTGTGTACCTGGTGCACGGTGATTACACACGGAGACGTTGTCATATGTACCTGGTGCACGGTGATTACACTAGAGACGTTGTCATGTGTACCTGATGCACGGTGATTACACTGGAGACGTTGTCGTGTGTACCTGGTGCACTGTGATTACACTAGAGACGTTGTCATGTGTACCTGGTGCACGGTGATAACACCGGAGACGTTGTCATATGTACCTGGTGCACGGTGATTACACTAGAGACGTTGTCATATGTACCTGGTGCACGGTGATTACACTGGAGACGTTGTCGTGTGTACCTGGTGCACGGTGATTACACTAGAGACGTTGTCATATGTACCTGGTGCACGGTGATTACACTAGAGACGTTGTCATATGTACCTGGTGCACGGTGATTACACTGGAGACGTTGTCGTGTGTACCTGGTGCACGGTGATTACACTAGAGACGTTGTCATATGTACCTGATGCACGGTGATTACACTAGAGACGTTGTCATGTGTACCTGATGCACGGTGATTACACTGGAGACGTTGTCATATGTACCTGATGCACGGTGATTACACTAGAGACGTTGTCATATGTACCTGGTGCACGGTGATTACACACGGAGACGTTGTCATGTGTACCTGATGCACGGTGATAACACCGGAGACGTTGTCATATGTACCCGATGCACGGTGATTACACTAGAGACGTTGTCGTGTGTACCTGGTGCACGGTGATTACACTAGAGACGTTGTCATATGTACCTGGTGCACGGTGATAACACCGGAGACGTTGTCATATGTACCTGATGCACGGTGATTACACTAGAGACGTTGTCGTGTGTACCTGGTGCACGGTGATTACACTAGAGACGTTGTCATATGTACCTGGTGCACGGTGATTACACTGGAGATGTTGTCGTGTGTACCTGGTGCACGGTGATTACACTGGAGACGTTGTCATATGTACCTGGTGCACGGTGATTACACTGGAGACGTTGTCGTGTGTACCTGGTGCACGGTGATTACACTAGAGACGTTGTCATGTGTACCTGATGCACGGTGATTACACTAGAGACGTTGTCATATGTACCTGATGCACGGTGATTACACTAGAGACGTTGTCATGTGTACCTGATGCACGGTGATTACACTGGAGACGTTGTCATATGTACCTGGTGCATGGTGATTACACACTGGAGACGTTGTCATGTGTACCTGATGCACGGTGATTACACTAGAGACGTTGTCATATGTACCTGATGCACGGTGATTACACTAGAGACGTTGTCATGTGTACCTGATGCACGGTGATTACACATGGAGACGTTGTCATATGTACCTGATGCACGGTGATTACACACGGAGACGTTGTCATATGTACCTGATGCACGGTGATTACACATGGAGACGTTGTCATGTGTACCTGATGCACTGTGATTACACATGGAGACGTTGTCATGTGTACCTGATGCACGGTGATTACACTAGAGACGTTGTCATATGTACCTGATGCACGGTGATTACACTAGAGACGTTGTCATATGTACCTGATGCACGGTGATAACACTAGAGACGTTGTCATATGTACCTGGTGCACGGTGATTACACTAGAGACGTTGTCATATGTACCTGGTGCACGGTGATTACACACGGAGACGTTGTCATATGTACCTGGTGCACGGTGATTACACTAGAGACGTTGTCATATGTACCTGGTGCACGGTGATTACACTAGAGACGTTGTCATGTGTACCTGATGCACGGTGATAACACTAGAGACGTTGTCATATGTACCTGATGCACGGTGATTACACTGGAGACGTTGTCATGTGTACCTGATGCACTGTGATTACACTAGAGACGTTGTCGTGTGTACCTGGTGCACGGTGATTACACTAGAGACGTTGTCATGTGTACCTGGTGCACGGTGATTACACTAGAGACGTTGTCATATGTACCTGGTGCACGGTGATTACACTAGAGACGTTGTCATATGTACCTGATGCACGGTGATTACACTAGAGACGTTGTCATATGTACCTGATGCACTGTGATTACACTAGAGACGTTGTCGTGTGTACCTGATGCACGGTGATTACACTAGAGACGTTGTCATATGTACCTGATGCACGGTGATTACACTAGAGACGTTGTCATATGTACCTGGTGCACGGTGATTACACTAGAGACGTTGTCATGTGTACCTGGTGCACGGTGATTACACTAGAGACGTTGTCATGTGTACCTGGTGCACGGTGATTACACTAGAGACAGTGTCATATGTACCTGGTGCACGGTGATTACACTAGAGACGTTGTCATGTGTACCTGGTGCACGGTGATTACACTAGAGACGTTGTCATATGTACCTGGTGCACGGTGATTACACTAGAGACGTTGTCATATGTACCTGATGCACGGTGATTACACACGGAGACGTTGTCATGTGTACCTGGTGCACGGTGATTACACTAGAGACGTTGTCATATGTACCTGATGCACGGTGATTACACTAGAGACGTTGTCATATGTACCTGATGCACGGTGATTACACTAGAGACGTTGTCATATGTACCTGATGCACGGTGATAACACTAGAGACGTTGTCATATGTACCTGATGCACGGTGATAACACTAGAGACGTTGTCATATGTACCTGGTGCACGGTGATTACACTAGAGACGTTGTCATATGTACCTGGTGCACGGTGATTACACTGGAGACGTTGTCATATGTACCTGGTGCACGGTGATTACACCGGAGACGTTGTCATATGTACCTGGTGCACGGTGATTACACTGGAGACGTTGTCGTGTGTACCTGGTGCACGGTGATTACACTAGAGACGTTGTCATATGTACCTGGTGCACGGTGATAACACTAGAGACGTTGTCATATGTACCTGGTGCACGGTGATTACACACGGAGACGTTGTCATATGTACCTGGTGCACGGTGATTACACTAGAGACGTTGTCATATGTACCTGGTGCACGGTGATTACACTAGAGACGTTGTCATGTGTACCTGATGCACGGTGATTACACATGGAGACGTTGTCATGTGTACCTGATGCACGGTGATTACACATGGAGACGTTGTCATGTGTACCTGATGCACGGTGATTACACACGGAGACGTTGTCATATGTACCTGATGCACGGTGATTACACACGGAGACGTTGTCGTGTGTACCTGGTGCACTGTGATTACACTAGAGACGTTGTCATGTGTACCTGATGCACGGTGATTACACACGGAGACGTTGTCATATGTACCTGATGCACGGTGATTACACTAGAGACGTTGTCGTGTGTACCTGATGCACGGTGATTACACTAGAGACGTTGTCATATGTACCTGGTGCACGGTGATTACACTAGAGACGTTGTCGTGTGTACCTGATGCACGGTGATTACACACGGAGACGTTGTCATATGTACCTGGTGCACGGTGATTACACTAGAGACGTTGTCGTGTGTACCTGATGCACGGTGATTACACTAGAGACGTTGTCATATGTACCTGGTGCACGGTGATTACACACGGAGACGTTGTCGTGTGTACCTGGTGCACTGTGATTACACTAGAGACGTTGTCATATGTACCTGGTGCACGGTGATTAAACCGGAGACGTTGTCATATGTACCTGGTGCACGGTGATTACACCGGAGACGTTGTCATGTGTACCTGGTGCACGGTGATTACACCGGAGACGTTGTCATGTGTACCTGGTGCACGGTGATTACACCGGAGACGTTGTCATATGTACCTGGTGCACGGTGATTACACCGGAGACGTTGTCATATGTACCTGGTGCACGGTGATTACACCGGAGACGTTGTCATATGTACCTGGTGCACGGTGATTACACACGGAGACGTTGTCATGTGTACCTGGTGCACGGTGATTACACCGGAGACGTTGTCATATGTACCTGGTGCACGGTGATTACACCGGAGACGTTGTCATATGTACCTGGTGCACGGTGATTACACCGGAGACGTTGTCATGTGTACCTGGTGCACGGTGATTACACCGGAGACGTTGTCATATGTACCTGGTGCACGGTGATTACACCGGAGACGTTGTCATGTGTACCTGGTGCACGGTGATTACACTAGAGACGTTGTCATATGTACCTGGTGCACGGTGATTACACTAGAGACGTTGTCATGTGTACCTGATGCACGGTGATTACACTGGAGACGTTGTCATATGTACCTGATGCACGGTGATTACACTGGAGACGTTGTCATATGTACCTGGTGCACGGTGATTACACTAGAGACGTTGTCATATGTACCTGATGCACGGTGATTACACCGGAGACGTTGTCATATGTACCTGGTGCACGGTGATTACACTGGAGACGTTGTCGTGTGTACCTGGTGCACGGTGATTACACTAGAGACGTTGTCATGTGTACCTGATGCACGGTGATTACACTGGAGACGTTGTCATATGTACCTGGTGCACGGTGATTACACTAGAGACGTTGTCATATGTACCTGGTGCACGGTGATTACA